CAGGTGTCCCTAAGTTTATATTAAAACATGCATTCCCAAAACACAATAAAGTGGGTTAGCCACCTACAGATAATTGACAATTTACCATTTTGTTCTTCACTTGGCCACTGCTGGGTAGCTCTGGCCTACCTGGTTATTGGGCTTTTTTGAACATTTCCAATGATTTTGCCTCAGTAGACATGGCCAGATGTTTCTATCTCTATATAGGTTGTCATTTGGCAGACTTTGGAAAAGATGAGATAGAGTTTGTAGTAGAACCTGAAGATTGATCTTAGAAAACTGTTCTGTGCAAATGCAAACTGAATGAATTGTATTTCATAATAAAAAGATTAGGGAAGCAGGAAGAAAATAGGAAAAGATTTGATCTTTTTCTTGGTGGAAATTCTTTGAGGTCACTTTTATGTTAGCACATTTTGCCTGCATCTGTTTCTCTGCTTTTTTTAGATTCAGATGCAAGTTTGCAATCATTTGCTTAGCTTATTCTTAAGTTATAGGCGAGCTCTGTACCTGTAACATGTAGTTATCTGTTGACAAAGCTCTTAGCCTCTTAAAACAAATTGCATCCAGTCCTATAATTTCATCTGACTAATGTGATTTTCCAAAGTATGCCAGTCTTTAATGCATTCGTTTATGTTTTTTTTTCAATCAGTAACAATGAAAGATAACAACTCTTTTCCACACCTGTCATAAATGGTAGCTAGAACATCATCTTTGAAACGTTTCTCCCCAGTCACCTTCCTTTTTGGGCAAAAGTGACAATTTTCCTTGAGCCATCCTCAGTGCTTTCACTTATCACTCCTTACCAGCAATATTAGGTATAAGGTATTGACTAAGGCACTACATCACATTAATCTCCATATATTCATAATTTCAAAAACCCTTCCCTGCCCAGCAAATTTTTACTCCTTCAAGGCTCAACTCGTAGCTCCCTATACCTTTTAACACTTAATCACTTAGCCACAGTTTATAATTATGAAATGTATAATTATTTTATTGTCTGTTTCCATTTCCCACCGCATTATAACCTTCTTGAGATCATGATCCTTGTCTAGTTTTACATTTCCAGCCCCTAACATGTTTCCTGGTACACAACTGGCACTAATTAAATATTTTTAAATGAATTAATAAATTAACGAGTCAACAAATGACTTCATATATTATATCCTTCTTGAATTATTTCCTAATCTCTTCAACCGCTACCCCCATATCCCACCCTACTGACAGAGTTGAACATTCCCTCTTCTCTATGTCAATGGAAATTTGCAAGTAACTTGGGTGACCAACCATACATCCAGGTTTTCCTGGAACATCCTCAGTTTATGCTAATTGCGTCTGCATAATTGTTAGTAAACACTCCGTTCATTCTCAAAAGTATCCTAGCTTGAATTGTAATTGCCGTTCTCACCCTCTATGTAACTGTATTTCAGTACTTCCTAGGGCTGCTTCTAGCCAGTATTTTACTAGTTTGCAAGTTCTTTGAGGACAGGTTCAGTTCTGGTTTCTCTTCTTAACCCAGGGACTTAGCACAGTATGTGGCACTCGGTGACTGTTCTTTTGAATGAAAAGACATTCCTTGCACCTTGTCCTCGAGAAGTTCACATTCTGAAACAAAACAAAACAAACACACACACACAACAAACATGACATCCACTTACACAGGTTTTAGCGCAACCAACATTTTTCTTAAAAACTTGTTGCTTAAGGCTTTGAAAGGTAAATCCAAGTTTATTTTTACTAAGTTATTTATTTCTCTTCTACTTTCGGTTACTAAGTAGGAAACTTTTGCAATAATAACTAGTAATCTCAATGAGGCTTTCTTATATTTATGGGATTTTCTCTGGTTTAGTCTTATAAACAGTTGGTTTTAAGTGACTTTGGAGCTTTGAATAAATGTAGGGGGAAACATTTCAATGTCCTTTGTACACTGGAAATTATCTTGAAGAGGATAAAATGTAAGTCAGATTGTAAATGCGGAACTTATAAAGGAAATGGGCTTTAAAATTCAAATAACGAATATTAATGCAGAAGCGAAAGTGAAATGGCTGTCTGTATGTTGGCTTTTCTTCTCACTTACAGAAATAGGATTGAGGTGTAACTGGAAATCCCTGATACACTGGTCATATAGGTAGCCTGGTTTTAGATGGGTAAGCACAGCTTCTGCCTGAAGAGCTCGTCAGTGTTCATAGGTCTACGCCTTGCCTGTCAGCCCTCTTTCTTATTGAGAAAAAAAAAAAACTTGTTGGTGTGTATTTCCCCCTTCATATATATATACATATATAGAGAGAGAGAGAACCTACTGTGTTCTGTTCACTTTTCTAAGCACTTGCCTTACACATCTTATGTAATCCTTACTCTGTGAGGTAGCTACCAATATCCTCATTTTACACATGAGGAAACTGAGGCTCAAAGAGAAGAAAACATTGGCCCAATGAGAACTGAAACCTGCTGGGACAGACAAGGTAGGTGAAAGGAGGGGTTTAGAAATGAAACTGTCCCTATTTCTCTTCTGTAATTGATATTCTTTTAAGTGTGTTCTGGTTTCTCATGCAAGTTGAGTTGATTTTCTCCTTTTGTTTACCAATTACAATAAATAAAAGAGGCTGAAGATACATTCAGGAGTATGCACACACCCCTTTCCTTATCTGGAACACACCTCTCTGTTACCCTTACAGCCTACTTCACTTATCTGAAAGCAAATTTAATGGTTGTCTCCCTAGTAGATGGGGTTCCTGATATTGTGCAAAGAGTAATTCTAGAGAGGATGTGTTCTTCAGGAGTAGATTTCAGCCTTATCAAGGAAGATCTGGTGTGGGATCTGGAAAAACTTCCCAGGCAGAAAGGAAGAAGAGAGTCCTTCCAGGATTATATATATATGCGTGTGTGTGTGTGTGTGTGTGTGTGTGTGTGTGTGTGTGTGTGTGTGTATATATA